ATTCGGGACCGTATTAGGGGCCAACAGTTCACTTGAGAAGCCTAAGGAGGAGCTGAAGTCAAGAAATACCGTGGTGAAGGTTTGGATAACACATTTCTTTGTATAAATGTCCCACGTAGCATCATCTTGAATTCCTTATACATATTTTTGACAGGATGATACTTTCAAAACCTCAGACTCACCTAATTTGCATAGTCAAGCAACTGTGTATGCAAAGTTGGCTGAATCTGATGCCGTGAAGACTGGCTCTTTGAAGAGCAGTGCAGAGCAAGAAAACCTTAAAGATGAAAGTGGTCTTTTCATTGTCCTCCCAATTTCAGCTGAAAGCACTGTTGCAGATAAGTCTTTGATCAAGCATATATAATATATATCATCCCTGTGAAGAACACCAATATCATATTGAGTATTAATGCAATCTACAAATTTGCCATTCATATGTAGAAATAATGAAGATATGATTTGTCACATTTTATTTTATGGCTGTGATCTGTTTTTGAATGCCTTTTATATTATTCCTTAAATTTTTTAGAGGTAAAAATGTCCAAGTTCGTTTGCTTTTCCTGTCAAGATTTAGAGGTCAAAATGTCCACACCCACGTAGTCCATACCTCTCTAACCTTTTTTTTTGGAAACTGAATATTTCATTAGGCAAAAGCCAAGGCAAACCGCCAAAGAGAGAAACAGAGCAGTACAAAATAAGCCAAAACACAACCGCCTACACTAAGCCAGAAACCAAGGCAACCAAAAAAACCATGTCGACCCAGAATTACAGCAGAAACTAGAGCTAGGACATACGACCAGACACATTGCAGACGGCAACGGGTGTCAGCGGTCAGTAAAATCATCACCCAATCAAAGCCTATGGTGGGCAAGGAAGCCCATCAAGAGACAGAACATGAACAAGGGAGGATGGGGGCCGATTGACCCAAACTTCCGTACCCATCCCTCCAACAGCAATCGCCGCCGCAGCATCCGCAACTGCATTGGCTTCTCTTGGGATCCAAGTCCAACAAACAGCAGAAAACTTGGACTTCAAATCCTGTATCCGACATAAAGAAGGGTAAATACCCCAGTCCCCTCTGGCAATTTTCCCAGCACAATTATCAATAACCTTCTTTGAATCAGACTCCACACACACATGAGTGATGCCATTTTCCAGTGCAAAAGACAATCCCTCAATAATCGCCTATGCTTCAGCAGTCTCAACAGACCCAGTTGTGGTCTTTAAAGCTTTCCCAAGCTTAAATTCACCCTTATGGTTCCTGATGATTATGCCCAGACCCGCTAAACCTGAAGCTTTTTGCCAAGAAGCGTCCACATTCAACTTAAGAAAGGGGTTTGGAGGAGCACACCATGTTCAGCCCAGACTCACCACACCATCATCCCTACCAACTCTATTGATATTCCCTGGGAAATCCTCAATTTGAAAAAATTCCGACCAAGCCTCCTTAGCTCCATGTAAAACCTCCAAAGGATTTGGACGCACCTCCTCAAACACGGCCTTACAACGAGCTTCCCAAATACTCCACATAACAAAAGACAAGATAGTAATTGATCTGCTAACCTCATCCTTAGACTGGTGAGGGATGTTGCAGAGGGAGAGAAACCATTGGTGGAGAGAGGTTACCTGTTGCCTATTACCAATATACCCCAGCGGGCAAGCAAACCATACCCCAATAACCCAAGGACAAGTCAGGAGGGCATGTTCAACCGATTCAGGATGATCCTCACATATAGGGCATGTTGAGGAGCATGGCACCCTTCTTCCAGCCAAGTTAGCCTTTGTAGCCAGGCAGTTGGTCATTGCCATCCACATAAAGTGACAAATTTTAGGAAGGGTTTTCGCATGCCAAATTAGCTTCCAGAGTTTCTTATCCACCCCCCTTGAGCCAGAGGCTTTATCCATGATGCTCCTTCGAGCCTTTGATGCAGAAAGTAATACCCCGACCTGACAGAGTATTGCCCTTGTCTATTCAGAGGCCAAATTAGCCTGTCTTTACCGTCATAGGGGCCAAGAGGGATAGTCAAGATGGCAGCTTCCTCATGGGCAGAGATGCACTGTCTGATTGGCTCCACATTCCAGGATCGGGTAGAAGGATCAATAATAGTAGCGACATGAGTGTCTTGGCCTAAAGTAACCGATAGATGGCCGGATAACCGAGCACCCGGAATAGGATGAATCCAGCGGTCATGCCATAGCCTAACACTTTCTCCATTAACCACTTGCCATTGCACGCCTTGGTTGATAACATTCAGACCTTCCAAGATACTTGACCAGACCCAAGAAGCATTGGCACCTTTTTAATTAGCATTAAGCACATTGCCATCAAGAAAATATTTGTCTTTGAGTATGCACGCCCATAAGGAGTCAGGATTCATGAGCAAACGCCAGCCTTGCATCGCTAATAAGGCTAAGTTGAATTCACTAAAATTACGGAAACTCATTCCTCCTTCAACTTTAGCAAGACCCAACTTCTCCTAGCTTACCCAATGTATCTTGTTGGAATAATTTTTCTGCCCCCACCAAAAATTCCCAATGGAAGAGTCCAGCTCTTTGCAAAATGTAATAGGAAACTTAAAAACCGACATGGGATACGCCGGAATAGCCTGAACAACTACCTTAACAAGGACCTCCTTCCCAACCTGAGAGAGAAGGAGCTGCTTCCAACCCTGCAATTTGCCAAGAATACGATCTTTTACATATTTCAAAACTCCCTTTTTAGATTTTCCCCAAACAGTCGGTAACCCCAAATATACCCCAGGGTTTTCCACAAGCGCCATTCCCAGCATCTCACAAATACTATTCTTGACATCAGTGGGGGAATTTGTGCTAAAGAAGCAGCAAGATTTATCAGTATTAAGCAGCTGGCCAGAGGCTAAGCAGTAGCTCCTTAGGATGGCCAACATATTAGAGCAATTTTCCTGACTAGCTCTCAGAAACAAAAGAGAGTCGTCAGTGCCCGCCATACACGCTTCTGTGATCATTACAGATAGGGCCTCACTGACAATGATGAAGAGGTAAGGGGATAAGGGATCACCCTGCCTCAGGCCTCTCGTGGGGCGAAAATGCTTGCCTGGGCTGCCATTAATAATCACAGAAAATTCCACAGATCTAACACATTTAAGGATCAGAGACACCCATCGATTGTCAAAACCCATCTTAATCATAGTAGCCTCAAGGAAATCCCACTCAACCCTGTCATAAGCTTTGCTCATATCCAATTTCATGGCCATTTCAAACCACTTTTTCTTCTTTAGCATTTTTAGGTGATGAAACACCTCATGAGCAATAATCACATTGTCTTGAATTTGTCGATTGGGCACAAAGGCACTCTGATGGTGGGTAATAACTTGCTCAAGTATGGGTTTTAACCGATTGGCTAAGACCTTGGCAAAAATCTTGTATGAGAAATTACAGCAATTGATAGGGCCGAACTGGCTCACAGTTTCTGGGTTTGGGACCTTTGGGATAAGGACGATGTTTGTGCTATTAAATTTATCTAGTGCCACTTCCCCTATGAAAAACTCATGAACCGCACCACGAACTTCAATACGGATCGACTCCCAGTTTGTATGGTAGAATAAGCCTTGAAAACCATCAGGGCCAGGGGTCTCTAACCTCTCTCCTCCCATTTTCTTAAGGTCACGTTTGCCCCTTCCAACAATAGACTTGAGACAAAAGTGACAAATCGAATGTTTGAGGATGTAAAATGTAGCTAAAATAAAGCGGGAAAGCAGTAATACTTCAAAGTCCATAATTGCATTACATTTTACTCATATTTACCAAACGGGTTGGGCTTTCCAAAAATTTTCGATCCTTTAACGTGTGACTTTAATGTCAGATGAATTAAAATATGCCATATCGACAATAACTAAGAATACTTTTCAAAGGCTAGTGTGGTATAATTCAGTTGGTTATACTCTTCCACCTCCAGCCATGTGAGCATAGACCCCAACATGGACGGACTTAGGATTTGAAAATAGAGTGAGCTAAATTTATCTTACATACAAAATTATCATATGATGTCCAAGTCAATTTTTTTTTTCACCACACAACTTATCACACGATGTCTAAGTCATCATCTCTCGTTGCCAGCTTATCACAACTGACATCAAAACTGATTGTCGTTGATCTCAAAACCAATTTCAAATAGATATGGCCAAAATTTCAAAGATTCCACCACTATATTGGTATGAACGAAGTTTGGAGTTTTGATAAACTTGAAATTAATTTTTTTTTTCAAAATTAAAGCCCACTTTTACTTCAAAAGTTGTACATTGGAAGGATTTGACTAGCCTCATTTTCTCTCTCCTATCTAGCCACACGCAGCTAGCCACTGTTCACAAAACTAAATTGACTAATGTATGCTTCATTAACTTTTTTTTTGCTACAGGACCCAAGAGAAAAAACTAAATTGACTAGTGTATGCTTTTATTATTATTTTAATTTAAATATTTATAATAAATATATAAATATTTTTCAGTTTAAACAGAATTTTGGCGGAAATGACCATATTTGTTAACATATATAAATATATAGACTAAATTAGCTAAATTGATAACACGAGGACTAAATAGTTTATTAGGAAAAACACCAGGACTATTTTGCCATTTAAACAAATTAAAAAAAATGTTTTTTATTTTGAATTGGTAGGTAACATAAATAAAATATAGATGTAAAATTATGTTTCAAAATAAAAATAAAAATAGATAGTGAAACAAATGAATTTTTTTTACGAAGCAAATGAATTTACTTTGAACTTTGTCAAAAAGATTTGACTTTGACTCAAAAAAGGAAGAAAAAAAACAATATCCGATAAATATTGAAAAGCAGAGGAGAGAGGCGGTAGTGAAGATTTAAAAATTAAAAGCAACTTTTCCAGTTGCTTGGGTTTCATAATCAACTCGTTTCACTTCTGCTGAAGTTGGTTTTTTTTTTTTCTTCGGGCTGGCCTTTCGTCGAGCACCTTGTGTGCATTTGTGGTCGCCTAGCTTCTCGCCATGGGATCGTCTCAGACCTTCACAGAAGAATGGAATTCTCTCTTCCCAATTTCCTCAGTCTTCAAGCCTCCCCTCCTCCTTTCAAACCCTTCTCTAAAACCGATCCTGGGTCCTCTGATCTTCAACCCTAAACCCAACTCCACAACCCTCCTTTTCTCTTCTTCCTCTTCTCTCCTTCCCCCTCTCCCTCCTTTACCTCATCTCTCTCTCCCTCGTTTTCTCCTCACTTCCCCCCCTGACTCTGCCCCTCTTCCCTCCTCCGTTCCCTCCGTAGCCTCCTTCTTGGGCCCCCACCACCCCAAAAACGACGTCTCCTCGTCTCTCCTCTACAACCGTCTTGAATTCCTTCCGTGCCCGCAGATTAACACCGTCGTTGTATTCTTCCCCACTGGTGGAAACTCTGACCAAGTTGGGTTCTTGCAGTTGGTGTTAAAAGGTTCGACCTTTGATGTCAAAGTGGATGCAAACGGAGGGGTTTTCGCCTCCGGGCGGTGGTTTAGTTATCGTATTTCGAGGATTTCGGTGAACCCGATTCCTGGGTTTTCGAGTTTAAGAGATAATGGTTCTTGTGTGACAATTGGGTATTTATTGGCTTCTACTATGTACTCTGTGCATTGGTTTATTGTAAAGGTTGGAGATTTTGGTCCAAATTTAGATAGTAGGGTTAGTTTAGTTCATTTGGGTAGTAAGATTTTCAAGACTTGCTGTGTTGTACATGCTTGTTGGAGTCCACATTTATTGGAAGAGAGTGTGGTGTTGTTCGAGAATGGTGATTTATTCTTGTTTGATTTGGACTCTCGTCTAAAAACCCCCCACACTTTGAATGCAAATTTTAAATTTAATGGGACCAGATTGAAAGTGCCCTGGGATATTGATGATGGTTCGGGTAGTTCACGAAATTATAGGTGGTTGAGTTGTGAGTTCAGTTGGCACCCTAGAGTTTTGATAGTTGCACGTTCAGATGCAGTTTTCTTAGTTGAGTTGAGGGCCCATGAGTGTAATGTTAGTTGTTTGATGAAAATTGAGATGTTGCATATGTATGCCTCCGTTGAAAAGGAGCAGTTCCTTGTGCTTTCAAAGGCAGGTTCTGACGATTTTCACTTTGTTTTGGCTTCTGACACTTTGTTAGTTGTTTGTGATGTGCGCAAGCCATTGATGCCGGTGTTGCAATGGGCTCATGGCCTTGATAAACCAAGCTATGTTGATGTTTTAAGACTGTCAGAGTTGAGGTCACAGTCGAGGGATGACAAATTTAATTGGGCTTCTGACTCGGGTTTTTGCATTATAGTGGGGTCGTTTTGGAATTGTGACTCTAGTATCTTTTGCTATGGACCTTCCGTCTCAGCTCCGATAGGATCAGTAGCTTCGAAAATAGCATAACTTCGGAAATCCTTCTATGCATGGGAGCTCCCTTCAGATCTTTTATTGTCAGGCCATGAGTGCCATTGTGGAAGCTGTCTTGTAAAAGAAGAGTTTTCAAAAGACGCTCTCCCTGAATGGATTGATTGGCAGCAGAAGAAAGAAATTGTTTTGGGCTTCGGCATTGTAAACAAAGATCTGTCTGCTCTGCTTTCTGAGCCAGATGAATTTGGTGGTTTTACATTGATAAGGCTTATGTCCTCAGGGAAGCTTGAATTACAGAGATATTGTGCATCATTTGATTCTATAAAAAAAGTAGAAGAATCACATGGAGAACATTTGCTTTTTAAGGATTATTTGCTGTACTCCCTAGTTGATGAGGAATACAAATTTCCTAGGAGATTTAAATACCTTAAACTTGACTACCTCTGTGGTTATCTGAATGGTAATCTTGATGAAGTCTTAGATGACAAAATAAAAATTCCCTATAATGATCAAGGGAAGGAACTTTTTAGCTCAGAGTTTCATGAAACTTTATGCAAAAAGTTACATGCTTGTGGTTTTGGTAAGTTTAGATCATCTCCTGCAGTTACAAGTGTTTTAAATGACATTAACTTGCCTGCAAGCATACACGAGGTTGTTTTGAAGAGATTGTGGTCAGACTTGCCCATTGAGCTTCTGGAACTGGCCTTTTCTAACAACTCTGAAATCCTTGAAGTGCTTGTGGACAAAAATAGGGTGGCTTTGGAATTCTCTGCAGTACCAGACCTATCTCAGTTGCCTCCTTTCATTTTAAGGAAATTTTCATGCCGCAGCAATAAGTGGTCACAGAAACTGCAACCTGGTGATGCCCTTGTGGGTCCAGTTCTTCCTCTTCCTGTTTTGCTTGCACTTCATGAATATCGCAATGGATGTCCGAATTCAGATGAAAAATCAGGTAGATTTTCAGTAGAGGCAGAAATTAATCGCAGCTGTGATGAGGTCATGCAGGTCACCGGTGAACTGGCTGTTTCTATTTCTGAGGCTGCGATTGTCGATAATCCAGTGACGTCCCTTGCTAATGATGGAGACGAGACATGGAGAAGCTCTCAAAAGTCAAAACCTTTCTTTTCATATCAGCCAGTTGCGGCTAAAGGATCTCCACTGGATCATACACAGGGCAAATCTGTTTATAAGGATGACAGGTTTGACACCTTAATTTCTAAAGTGTCTGATAAGAAGCATGTATCCAACGACAATCAGGATAATGTCGGACTAGAACTATTTGATGATCTTTGCCCTGTAGAGTTGAGATTTGATGCTTGTTCCTTGAAGTTTGAACAGAAGGAATTGGAGGCGTATTGTAAATTGAAGGGGGAATTCTTAAAATGGCAAAAGAGCTTTGACTTGTATCAAGAATTCTGCTCTCGGATTGAATCAAAAAGCTCATAAATGTTTCTTTAATTCTTTTGTCCATGTTCCTGCAAATTTTTCACCACTGAGTAAAACCCCTCCCTTCTGTACTTATTTTCCCTGTAGTTAATTTTGATGTATTTAGATTATAGATGACTAGGAAAAGTTCCTGTGTATACGACAGGATCATAATGTAAACAGCCACAGCTACCCAGACAAATCGTTTTATACAATAAGGCACAAAATGTTTGGTATTTCGTACGGAGAGCTCTTCCTCTTGATCGGAGCCACAGGTGCTCTAGTCGGTATACACCCAATCTCTCTCTCCCTCTCTCTCTCTCTCTCTCTCTCTCTCTCTCTCTCTCTCTCTCTCTCTCTTTTTGTGTTTTTTTAAAAAAAAAAATGCTTTGTTTATCTCAAAAGAAAAATGCTTTATACTCCAATTTTTCTCTCAATCTTTTTCTGACTTAGGCATGGGATGGAACCTAATGTTTGGGTACCCATGTGAGAGAGTTGGGCTGTTATAGCTGTAGCATTTTCATTGTCCGCATTGGTTCAGAATTTTTCTTTGCCAAGGTCAAAACTTGGGTAATTTTATTGGAAATATTGACTGAAAAAGTGAACTGGGTTTGATGTTTAATGGGTTGTAAATTGTAGGACCAAAGGATTTGCCTAGAATTGCTAGAACAGCAGGGAGGTTAGCGGGTCGGTCAATCGGGTATGTTCAGTTAGCTAGAGGCCAATTCGATAATGTTATGCAGCAGTCTCAAGCCCGCCAGGTACATTTTCTAATTAAATAATTAATGATAGTTTGATAATTATCATTCTATCGTCAATTCTTTGTGATCTAACATGCATTGTGCACAATCGGGTAATGATTAGAATTTCAATGTCCTTGAACCAAATGATTTATCTGTTCATTTTTGTCCCTTGCTTGACCTTTAGGTTCATAAAGAACTTCAAGATGCATTCGCACAACTAGAGTCGATTCGTAATGAAGTCCGGAGTATATCACTTATGAATCCTGGTCCTATGGCTCGAAGGCTGATGGATAATCCTCAAGACCCAGCTTCTCTGAGTGATGGTAGTATTCATAGTAGCCATACATTGCTGGAAAGTAATGTTTTGCTTCTCTCCTAACTACCAGTTTATATGTATTCTTAGGGGCCAACAGTTCACTTGAGAAGCCTAAGGAGGAGCTGAAAACCTCAGACTCACCTAATTTGCATAGTCAAGCAACTGCGTATGCAAAGTTGGCTGAATCTGATGCTGTGAAGACTGGCTCTTTGAAGAGCAGTGCAGAGCAAGAAAACCTTAAAGATGAAAGTGGTCTTTTCATTGTCCTCCCAATTTCAGCTGAAAGCACTGGGATGCTACCAAATCGCAAAGGTTATAATCTTCTGAGTTATGACACTTAATGATGTTATCATTTAGTTTACTTTATTGTCTCAATTTGGGAACTCTGCTGGGAGCTGCCAGGAATGGACATTTCCTTTTCATTATCTTGAGGAACAACAAATATTTAAATTTTCTCAAGTACACTACTTAATTCTCTGTATTGCCCTCATTATCTTTGATTATAAGGTCATGAATGTGTGTGCTGCACAGATATTATGGTTTTCATATCAATGTTGTCTTTACTAGCAATTTTTTACATGTACTTTTGTATAATTGGTCAACAAAGGTGTCGCTCATGCTCTAGTTGTGTATGATTTCCCCTATATATTTGGTTTCTGTTGAAGGTAACTTTATCTGGATTGTTGAGGCTTCACTTGGTGGGCTATTGGCTTAAACATGTCATAGGAATACTCTTGAAATAATGTTTGGAAATGCAATCCTTGATTGCATAGTATGAAAACTCTTGCACATTAAATTATTTCTATAAAACCTATGTTCTGGCACACACAAATATTGTTCCAATGTATAACTGAACATGCCACAACTTTTCCAGAGAATTTGCAAATAGTTTTGCTTTTCATCTTAGATATATATATATGTCCAAATAAATAACCAGTGGTTGTGATGGCAGAGAATGTTAAGGGATCAGACATTGTGTTGGAAGCAATAGTTGAAGCAGAGGTAGCACGTAATGCCAAAGATTTCTTTTCACAGCCTGAAAATCAAATACAGTGAACTGAAAAGGTGACGATACTTTTATTTATTTATAATCTTCATCACTCTGTTTATAATTGGGTATGTTTAGTATTAAATAACAAATACATAAGTGAAGAAGGTTTATGTTAGGGGAACTTTTTGTTTTATTGATGATAAAATCGAACAAGGTTTATGTTACTATTCTAAGATGTAAAACTACTGGAGATCCTTAAGATCTTTTTTTCTTCTTGCATTGGGACCAATGAGAATTGTTACATAGAAAGCAGTTTATTGTGATGGACAAATTTTGTTCACATTTTTAAATGGTTGGTGTATTAATATGTGGGGATGTTTAGGGTTTAGGGGGTAAGGGCAGGAGAATATGTGTGAGCCAATTTGTTTTTGGCTATGCATATCAACACATACTAGTTTTACAATGCTAGCTCAATTGCTGGCATTATTTGCTGGTGAAAATGCCACATGATTGGCTTCAATTTCCCTTAGGTGGTGTTTGATTCAAAGGAATTAACTGCAATGGAATGCAATCATTGCTATTGCAGGCTCCATTACAATGATCGTTTTGGCAATATGACTCTTGAAAGCCCATTCCTATAACTGTTGGTGGACCATTTCCAAAACAAAATTGGTGGAAAGCCAGTTCGAACATGACGCCCATTGTTTTCACTTCTCGGTCTGTCACCTCAAGCTCAGCCAGTTCACTTTCATGGGTTCCCATTTGTATTTTGAAGACCTGATCAACAGGATTCTTTCACCAACAGACTGTGAAACCAATCTACAGAATGATATTAGGGCCCGTCTGGTAATGTTTTCAGAGAGCATTTTCAGAGAATGTTTTCATAGAATGAAAACGAGAAAATGAAAACGCATTTTCAGAGAACAAAAACGCGTTTGGTAGCTTAGTTGAAAACTGTTTTCAGAGAACAAAAATAGTGAAAACACGTCTGGCATAAATATGTGAAAATGACACAAACAATGAAGATGTATGTAACTTTAATTAAAATGCATTATGTTTTTTTTTAATACAACATTATGTAATCAATCTGTGAGTTTCAAAAAAAAAAAAAAAAAAAAGTACGTATATTATTTAAAAAAAATATTTTTTAAGCATCTTAAAGAATATCATTTTAAAAATAGAATAAAATTCTATAGTATAAAAACTAGAATTATCTTTTTTTTTAAAAATTGAAACCTCAACCTGACCTTCGCTTTCACTCTCTGCAAACTCACCTCAATTCTATCATTCCCCTCTCTCTCTCTCTCTCACTCCCCCTCCAGATCCCTCT